TCTGGGGCTTGAGTAGGGTTAGGTTCTCGGCCCACGACGTCACCTGCCCTGAATTTTTTGACGGTTCAGGTTTTGATTTATTATTTTGTTCTTCTTCCTCCTCGTCCTCTTCTTCCTCCTCTTCTGTTACAGGTTCTTCTTCACTCTCCGTCTCTTCTTCCTCTTCTTCATCACTGTTCTCTGCTTCCTCTTCTTCCTCACTTTGTTTTTCATTCTTTTTTTGCTCCTTCTCATTTTCATCATCTTTGTCCTCTTCTCCTTCACTGGTTTCTTCTGTCACACAGTCCTCCTCCTGTTCTTCATCCTGTATTTTAATACAGTTAATGTCTGTGAAGGTTCTCAGTCATCCAGACCATCGTAGTCTAAAGAGCTTGGAAAGAAAAGCGTCTGGATTCTTTAAGTTGCTTGAAGATGTTTCACCTCTCACCCGAGAAACTTCTTCAGTTCTAAGGTCAGATCTAGGTAGAGGATCAACAGGGGGTTCATGACCCTCTTGGGGGACACTCCCCTAGGATTTAAATCTGGGACTGTCCACCATTGGACCTTAGAACTGAAGAAGCTTCTCGGATGAGAGGTGAAGCGTCTTCAAGCAACCTAAAGAAGTCCAGATGCTTTTCTTTCCAATCTCTTTAGACTAATACAGTTAATAAAATCTTGAAATGCTAGCAGGATCATGTGATATGGACAGCGTCTTTCTAGAAGAATTTGTAATAATGTTACTTTAAGTTACTCTGTTCTTTGGCAAAACTAATAGAACACCAGAACCAAAACATAAAAATAAAATAAATGTTAACACTAACCAGTTTTGGACTTGCTCCACCTAACTCATCCTCCAGCAGTCTACGTGTCTCGTTCTCCCAGTACTTCATGAGGGCCTCTCTGCTGAAGGTGCCTGTCGGGGTCTTATCTGTCTGGTCTCGCTGTCTGAGTCCTATGGGCACATTGGCATCAGGATCGATGTCCGACAGCTCCTTTTCCAACTCAGCCAGCTCCTCGGCGCTGAGAGAAGCCAAAAGCTCATCTTCATCAAGGTCTTCATACTTACTCAGCTCTCGACGATACCCAAAACAGCTCATGGCCAAAGTGTGATAAGCACAGAAATGCAGACAGGCCGGTTCTTGATTTGCTTATGATCTGGTGTAGACCCCAAAATGAAGACACTTGGGATTGGAAATTCCAACAAAAGATACGATCCACTATGAAACTAGTAGAAATTCAAAGTTAATTCAGGTCCTTAATGGCAAAGAAAAAAGTTGTCTGCATATTCTGGATCCAGTCTTCTGCCACTGAAGCCCACTCCAGTCTGAACCAGATCTGTCCTGGCCAACCGAGTTTATGTGACGGAGATCCTCCGTGTGTGTCCGTGGCCTCTCCTCTCTAATCTCCACAGCTGCTGTTCAGGCCTTAAGAGAGGGATCAGAGGGGAACGTACTAAAGTGTAGGCACCATGATGCAGCATCTTTTTTTGGGAGGTGCTGCTCTGAGAGGCAGAGACACAAAAAGCCTGTGAGCTCAGAGACCATGTATCCTGTCAATGTAGTAGTCTGTAACCTTTGTTTATAGCCAACTGGGCTCAGAATATAGTCAACACAAGAGGTAAGACGCATGACATATAGTTGAAAAAACGGCACAGGCTTGGCCGCTACATATCCTTCAGCAAAAAGTTCTCTTTCTCTTTTATGCTAGTCTTGATGAATTTATAAACACATAAAATAGTAGATAAACATATCGAGTGAGGGACAAAAGCCTTATTTATATTGAATTCTGCCAACTTTAGTTGGTTTACCCACCAAAGAAATGGGACCTAAAATGTAACATATATTTTATTAGCCACAAGTTTTGGGTAGTGGCCACTGAGATTCCTTCAAAAGGTGGCTGGGCTCTCCCTTGGGGACATGGGGAGGACCCTTGCAATGTGGAAGATGATGTTCTTAGACATCAATAGGAGCCAATTGAAGTGCTTTGGACAGTTAGCTAGGATGACTAGTGGGTGCCTTCTTGGTGAGCTGTTTCAGAGAGGCATGGTCCTGGATAAATGGGAAAAGATTGATGGGTGTATATCATCAATTTCTCTTTGCTATTTGGGCTGATTGGGATCTGATGAATGTAAAAACCAAGAAATATCTTTTTACCTGATTTTGCTTTACAAGGGCCTGATATCCACATATGAGGACATTTGTTTTATATTTTGATAGAACAGAGACAGTATAATGTCCTCGTGAGAGGATATCAGGCCCTTGTAGAGCAAAATTTAGTATTGTGGTCTAGACAACCCAAAATGTGGTGTCCACATATGTGGATGCCAGACCTAGGTGGTTAATAAGAAAGACCCTCTGTGGACTAAATCCCAATTTCAAGACTAATAATGCCCACCCTCTATCTCAAAAACACTTTTATTTAAGTTTAGGCTTGAAACATTGGGTGATACTGAAACGCACAATGGAAGAGGCAGGCAGGGAAACGGTAAAATGCAACAAAAGCAAACTTACACAGATACCAGGTAAGAAGGGAAGAAAGGCAAACAAGCAAGTGATCAATACAATCAATACTATAAGGCAGGGGAGGAAGTGAAAGAGAATACAAGAGACAAAAGACTATAAAAATAAAACAGGAAGTGAGAATGGTGATAGGAAAGGAAATGCAGACACATGAATAACTAAAACTAGGGGAAATGACAGTGGATGATGAGACAGATAACACTTAGGGAACAAATACAAATGGCACTTAAATATAAGTAGGACTGAAAACTCAAAACACTAGTAATAACTGAGAATTCAAAACCAAACAACTAATAAAACTAATAAGAAGGAAAAAAGACTCCCAAAATAGCGATCACCAGAAACGTCAAAATATCTCACAAAAATCCAAAAGTACTACAAACAAACACACAGACTACAACATTGTGGACTGCGGCAGGATGCCCACACAAGCAAGGGGGGGAAATGTGAAAGTTCACACATAACCCCATCAGTTAGTGCTAAACCACCACTGAGATACTCAGATCCCGCCTTTCAATACCTCCCAATAATTCAAACCTAGAGGAAAATTAAACTGTGTTAGGGGGTGAACAGTGGGTATTACTGGTCATGAAATCAGGCTTTAAATTCAGTAGAGTGCTCACCACCAATTCTGTCTCTTCATTCACTAATGTCCACTAATACTAAACCTCGTTTTGTTTAAAAGTTTTGGTTTTAAAAAATATCAGTTGCACGAATTGATTTCGTTTGATTTCTTTTCTTTTGGTTGTGCACAGACTCCTGACTATTAACTCAAATAGAAAACAATAAATTCATTCTTTGGTAATTGGATGTCATCAGATCATAAAGACACAGAGGTTACACAACTTTGTAAATGTCACAGTTTATTATATTTCACTGATATTATGACTTTTATGTTTACATTTTAAGACACCAGATTGTCAAGACACTAAAAAAGAAGGATGAAACAATTAATGCGAGGTTTACCCGTCATCTCTTTAATGGCCATGTGGGCTTGAGATTTTGTTAACCCTTAGACACATAAGTGGGTCAAAAAGGATCTGGTGTGGTCTTTTCCTTGCAATATCTAATTAATGAAAAGTTGTTATAATTTCATGTTCCAACTATTCCTTAAAAAAGTGTTTTTGATATTACGCCAATGACATTTTTAACTTACCTTTTATACATGTACAAAGTTTTAGTTTTTGTGTTACTACCCCAAGCTTCCATAAGTGGGCCAAAAATTACCCGTAATCATTTCCTATGGAATTTCATGGGAACCTTTGATTATTGTCAACTGCGACTGTCAGGAAAATATATTTTATTGAACACAAAGAGTGTAACACGTTAAGAAGATTATTTTAAACAGCAAGAACTAGCAGGCAGCACACATTTACCACTTACAGTGATTGTGTCACTGTAGATAAACAGCTTGTGCTGTTCAGGGGGAGGTTCAAATTTCTACAGTAGATGCCAAACAAGCTTGTCATAGCCAAAAGTTCTTCTGAGTCTGTGATGCATGCATCCCCTATGCAAGAACTGGACGGGTTTGTATTGGGAGACAGTCAGGGGAAGAAGTTCAGAATCTGGGGGAAATCCCGGTCCAGCAGTTTTGCACTAGGTTCAAAAAGACAAGACGCAACATCACCACAGATAATGTTGCCTCCTGTGCAGTGTCTTCTGAAGAGGTTTACAGCACAGAGTTTGCATTCAGCGGTACGGCATAGAGGAAAATACCAGAAAGGATTTAAAAAAAAAACACAATTAATCACATTCTACGGTTTGTTGGCACCTACACCTGCCAGTGTAAAACACAGAGGTGGCCCATGGTGCTGTGGTGCAGCTTCACATTGGTATCTGGTATCACAACTGCATGACGGGTCGTCCTCACCGAGCTCTCAAAGGAGCTTGCTGCATCACATATGAGAAGCCGGCTGGAAGGTTGCTCCCAACGGCAAACCACAGTCACAACTGGGCCCCAGGAAAAAAAGCCAATCGAAGACAACAAGATTTCAGATCCAAGTAACGAAGATCATAAAGTCAGCAGTCGGTGCGACAAAATCAATGTACCTGTGTGAAGGGATTACAGCCAGAAATAGGTCAAAACTTCATACAGACAGGAGGACAAAGAAAATATAAAGAGAGGAAGTATCACTCATACCGACACACAAACAAAATGGATGTTGACATTGTTCTGTTGCTGGTTTGGATTTTTTTTTTTTCATTTCCGATTTTCAAAATGTGAAAAAAATATTTCAAACATCAAATCATTCTTGTCTGAACCAAAATATAGTATAAAATATAACACAAATGATTATTTTTAATCACAATAACAAAAGCGGCATAATTAACACAGGCCATTTTTGACCCACTTATGGAAGAATGTTGGGTCCAGTCACTCGTGCATCCAAGGGTTAACACGCGTCACCCTGCAAAGGTCCAGGACCAGGTCACACTTGCTCCGCTCTCCTCGTGCATGAACTGAAACACTTGTGTGAGGGACATCTATTTCATATACTAGACATTCAGTCTGTAAAAAAACAACTAAAATAAGGTATTGCATTAAATGAGCACTTTGGCTGTTTTCACACTTTAGTCACATGTATAAATAAAACGTGTTTCACACAGATAACAGGTCAACATACAGGTCACGCTCTCTGTAGGTCAGGTAGTTCATCAGCCTTGGGGGGAAGGGACCAGCAGCCATAGTTTCAGGGTCATTCAAGGTCCTGAGGCTCATGTGACTTCTGATTACCAGTCGACACAAGTGCTGCAGAGACCGTGGCTTCCCTTTGGACACAGAAACACACATAACCTCCAGCTTTTTAAATCACTTTTCAAAATGTCATGTTTTTCTCTGCTTTAGAGTGCATGTTTTGCACGTTTTTCTTATCTACAGACTTGTCTCTGCAGTTTTACCCAGTATGTCAGAAATCTCATCCCACTCCGGCCTCCTCTGCAGGATTTGTCTGAGCTTAAAACAAATGCTGACATGGCTGACGTAGTCCAGTAGCATCCTTACCACTTTGCCTACAACGTGAGCAAGGCATGATACTGACACAAACTCACAGAACTGAAAAAGAAAAGAAAAGGGAAGTGACATATTGTAGAGGTTAGCTAACAGATGGTCTGTGTGTCTGCCTGTAGTGTCTCTTACTGAGATGACTTTAGGTTGACTGTAAATCTGATAGGCTTGGTTATGCAGCTCAGTCCAGGTACTATCCAATTCTTCACTGTCACCATGACCGCACTGGAAACACCTGTACGGTTGCAGAAATCCGATAATGAAATTGATGAATCTGAACTACATATCCTCTGTAAATAAATCGAATATTGACTAATTTCACAGCAGGTATACGTGCTTGTAAGCGTGATATCCACTGTTGAGCAGCAATCGCAGCATGACATGGTCTCTGAAGCAGTACTGCAGTGCTGTGGGGAACACCGTGTTGCTGATCACTCTGAAATAACAGTTAACCTCTGCTCCATGGGACAGCAACAGCTCCACCAACTCGAACCTGGTTACAGAAATAAAAAAAGAAGATTTTAATGCCTCTGCTGTAACACAGCGCTGCCAATACCAGAAATGATAATAGTCAGAAATGACATGTACTGTATAGTCAAATTACATTTATAGTGATGTTAAAAAAAATATTTGCCTAATCGTACTTCCTGATTTCTTACTGTTTTGCATATTTGTCACACTGCCTGTGAGCATGTTTCAGATAATAGACAAAGCTAACCTGTGTAAACACTAAATATTTTACACAGTAATTGTCCTTTAAATCTAATAAGTGGTTGGCTTTGACTAGGCCACATTTTGGTAAACATGACATAATCATTGGAGTAATATTGGTAGGCCAAGCACTCCAGGAAATGTCGGCTTTACAAAGGCTTTGTAAGCCTTTTCAGACTGATATATAGCAATGACTTTGTTTCTCATCTGTTCTTAAGTTTCTTTAAATTTTAAAACAACGAGCTGATTTTTGAGATCTTTTAGCCTCCTTTACTTTTTCACACAAATTCCTCATTCAGTAGATAATAATCGGGCCTGGGTTTGAATAGTGAATAGTGACTAAATTCAGCTTTCTATAAAAATATAGTTAATTACAGTTAAATTGCACCAAGCAGGTGCAATTACTTTTTCACACTGGGCCAGATTGGTTGGACCAGCTTTTTCCCTTAATAAATTAAATCATTGTTAAATAACTGTACTTTGTATTTACTCGGGTTAGCTTTGTCTAATTTTAAAATGTGTGACGATAGGAAACATGCAAATGTGACAAAGAAATCAGGAGGGGGCAAATACTTTTTTACAGCACTGTATGTACATACGCTATTTACCTCTCAGCACGTATAGCAACCAGTATGCATCGCAGTGGATCCAGGTCAGTTCTCGCGCCAGCCGCCAGCAACCTCTCCGAACAGGTTACATCACCGTTGGATACAGCGAAGTAGAGAGGCGTTTTCCTGAGGTCCCCGTAGTTCTCTGCAGCATTTACAGTACTTGTGCTTACAAATATAAACGACTTTTTTAAGAGGACTGGAAACTTCATCATTTTAGAAAATCCCAACATCACCAAGCATTGACTTTGCATATTGCTCTACATATATAGTCCAGTGTATAGATGTTTAGTCCTGTGTTCAGATGGATAAACTTCACACTGATTTGCATTTTTTGCAGTGCAATGTCGCAAATATGAACCACAACTTTATCAGTGATGGGAGCTGAAGCACCCTTCACAGTCACTGAAGAGATGTTTTCATCTGCACTTGTTTTTTGCATGTGCGTGCATCTTTGCATTTACCGAATGTGTGTATTTGCGTGTACCGCTTTAGTCCTGCATAATTTAGAAACTCACTATGAGAACTAAATGGCCTGAGTTGATGTTGTGTGCACGTGCGCATCCAGCTGATTCGTACCAGAGATGTGTGCATGTAGCAGGGCGTTGACATCATAACCCTTCTGGATAAGCAGCTCTAGACACTGAACCTGCCCCCCGTCTGCAGCAGAGTGGACAGGGCTCTGGCCTGAGAGGCGAATAGCTCTCTTTGTGGTGATAGGGATGAGAGTCCTCAGGATTCTGAAGAGAAAGAAGATCGGGTGGGTGGGAGATAAACAGGAAGAGAGCGGGGCAAAACACAAAACAGAACAGAGACAAAAATGTTCATTAGATCGTGGTGTGAGCTCTACTGTTATTCAGTGACAGAAGTGAAAAACAGTGATAAACAGAGGGCTCTTTGTGGCGATGAGTACAGAGAAAGCACTGCAGCTGCGGAGACAGATGCTTTACATTCAAATTGGCTGCAAAATTAGAGGAAAGTGTTTTTGGTCAAGTTATTTATTTTGGGGATTATTAGTTAGAATGTTGTTGAATGTAGTCAGATGTTATTGGGTTTGAGAGTGAGCTTAAAGTTGCATGAACTCACAGTATGTATCCTTCATACGCAGCTCTATGGATGGGCAGCTGGCAGGCGTAGCTGGCAACATTTGGGTTGGCTCCGTGCTCCAAAAGCAGCTTGACACAGTCCAGGTTTCCAGATCCGGTTGCATCATACAGGACTGTGTCTCCATTGCTTGCCTGGGCATTCACATCACCACCTAGTGGAGTTCAGAGAAAATACAGCAATGTCTGACCCGTCAGGAGGTTTTTATGAGGCATGATACAACATATACTGTTTTACCGTGGTGTATGAGTATGTCTAAAACTTCAGAGTTGCCATGTTCAGCTGCGATCCCCAGCGGTGTCACGCCATGACCGTCTCTGCTTGTTATTTTGGCTCCATGTCGGAGTAACAGCATCATAATAGCTGCACAACCCTCCTGGGGTGAGGGATAGGACACACATGAACACAGAAGGAAAGAAAGGTAATAAAAACTAGAGAAAAATAAAATTTTGTGCTTAAACCTGAACTTTGAGTTTAGATTCAGCTCCATTCACCTTTGCTGCCTCGTGAATGGCCCTCCACTTGGTGAGACACACCTGCTCTACGAAGGCCCCGCCCATGATGAGGGAAAGAACCATGTCGTATGAGCGTTGTCTCACTGCTGCAAAAATGGAAAACAAAAAATGATTCCATTAAAAAAAAAGCATAATAATGAAGGTGTTGCGTCAGCTGTCTGAGTGTGTTGTGCTACCGATTAGCAGAGGTGATTCATTCCTGCTGTTGTTGTTGTGCGGTGAAGCTCCGTGCTTCAAAAGTAGCTTGATGTTTTCCACCTGGCCGGCCTCAGCTGCCAGAGTCAGAGCCGTATCACCGTCCTCCGTCTGCTCCTCCAGGGTCAGGTCGGTGGATTCCAACACTGCAACAAGAACACCATTAAGACTGCGTTAAAGGTGGAAATCTACTCAGCCCACTGCTCCAGTAATTGTAGCTTACATTCCACTAAATAGTTTGATCAAGCTGACATCACACTGGTTTTCACTCTCACCCTGCAGCACTGTGTGGAGGACATCTGGCTGCAGCTGCACAGCTGCTGCGTGCAGAGGCAGCCAGCCCCTGCTGTCACTCTCTCTGAAGGCAGACGCGCAACCTGACAGCTCCTGCAGCGCATCCCCATCACCTGCCAAGATACAAACAAGAGCCACAAGGAGACTCATAGGGAAACATTTTTAATATTTTTGACCAACAGTGAGTTTAAATGTAGGCGCGCCCGCCTTGTACGTCTTTTCTTAATGCCGCATGCAAAAGGCAAACATGATTAAAGGGAACGTTACCTTTTTGAATGGCTGCCATAATCTTCATAAACTCCACACTATTTGTGTTTTTCCTATGAAAATGAAAGCGTTTACTCTGGAAACACTATGATAGAGCTTCATTATACTTTTGATTGCTGATTGCCTTAAAATTTTGTTAATTTGGAACATAAACAACTCCTAACAATACAGTTAGGTCCATAAGTACAGGTTAAGTATAGTAAAAGTTCATATAATCTTGGTTTTTTCCACAATTGTGCAGGCTCTTTTCAATGTTTTCTGGCAAACTTTAATCTGGCCTTCCTGTTCTTGAGCATAACCAGTGGTTTGCACCTTGTTGTAAACCTTCTGTATTTACATTCTGCTGATTGTAGACTTTGACAATGGTACGCCTACCTCCTCAACAGTGTTCTGACTTGGTTAGATGCAGGATGAATTATGTGCATAGGGCTGTATTCTCTGCTCGGATTCAGCCAAATGCTGCAAAAGTGACTGGATGATGCTTCAGAATGAGAACAGATCGTGATCTGAAGCATACTGGGAATGCTACTCAAGCTGAAAGTCTGCATTTCAATCACATCTGGATTGTTTCATTTAAAACCACTGTGACATTGTATGCGGGCAAAATTACAAAATCTGTATGATTGTCCAAATACTTATTGACCTAACTGTCAATTTTCATTAATAATAAACATTAAAGACCCTTCTTGGTTTTCCATACCTATCTGTTTGCACTGAGCATGGCAGCTTGTAGGCATCTTGAATGCTCTCTCGAATAGCAAACTCAATCAAGTCTTCATTTATGGCCTCCTGTTCAAAGTCATCCATTTCTATATGTAGAGACAAAAGCAAGAGAAAGGGGCACTTGAATTCTTTTCATAAATAGGAGTTTTGCGTACAGTATGAAGGTGAATTATACAATGTAGAAACCTTATCAGTCTGTAGATCGTGCTTTCTGCACAGCATGCAACTTTCTGGCACGGTATCACCACTATTCATGCAGGACATAATCATGCTAATGTAAAGCAGTCCTATTGGAAATTACACAACAAACTTAACTTGCATTTCATGTTAGTCATATTAGTCGGTCTCACCGGTTGATCTGAATAAGTCCCCTTGAGGTCTCCAGCTCACAGCCTGGTTGTGTTTTTGTTTTGCAGTGTGTTAAGCTGTTTGGGTTATATTTAGATGTGACCTGCTTTAGATGACCTGCCTCAGCTCAGACTATGCCTTCCACGTCTTCTCTTACAACTGCAGCAGACAAAGTACTTCTGCACTGTGTGTTCAGTCGAATGAAGTTATTTGTTCCCATGTAATTGAAACACGCAAGCTTGTGAGAAGTTGAGACCTGACTTTTGGAAACCTGCATTCATTGCATTAGCTCAAAATAATAAAATGATGAAGAAGTTCTACATATAATTAATAATCTTAACAATATACATCCCAGTAATGTGAATGAAGAAGTTGAATCAGATGTATGCAAAAGAAGGGATACTTCCCTTCCAAAGCTGCTTACATGGAAAGACAGTGAAAGGACACATGGCTGCAGCTGATTTCTGATTGATTTGCATAATTCATTCCTGTATAATGTTGGAAAAAATAGTGGAAAATGTCAGTGGTAATTTCTCAAAGCCCAGAATGATCTCCACATTAACAGTCTCTCAACCTTAAGTATATTACACTTATGCCCATATCTAGCAGAAAGGGACTGAGCTGATTTGGCCTGTTTGAAGTTTTGAAAAAGTGGGGGATATTTTGCCCCCTAATTATTTGATGATCATGATTCATAGTAAAATTTGATCATAAAGTAATAAAAGGGAAAGCAGTTACAGCAAAATGTTTAAAAACCATAAGCTGCCAAAGTCTGGGGAACTGACATAGGAGAATTTTTGGAAAAATAGATACAAAAGGGAAATGGATATTAACAAATTAACTAACTACAAAGAAACAAACAATTTAAGATAGCTTTAATCAAATCCAAAATAACCAAAAATGTAATTAAATATCAAATTATGTTAACGGCATATTGAAATTAAATCATTTCAATATTTTTTTATTCAATAAAATTCTTTTAATGACTTTAACGAGAGCTTTAACAAAGCAAGAAAACAAAACAAAAACATGGTTAATCATTTAATATAAAGTGGCTGTAAACAGTATTGTCATTAAATAATATTTATTTTTTTATTTTTTGATGCATAGATCTTGCAACTAGAGTAATGTATATTTCATGGGGTTTCCCTCCCTGCGTCCAAGGGTTTCCATAAAAGGCCGTTTGCAGCTCCTCCCCCTCACTTTTGTCAGTCAGAGGGTGCAGGTGTTGGTAATGGATGTCAAGGTAGGCCAAACGGGCAGTGAGACCTTGTTTGATGGGATTTGATCTCATATCTTACTTAAAACGATGCTACTGTAATTGGGATGGGCTGCTAGCTTGCCCGCTGGCAAGTTCAACGTAAACTAGAGCTAGCTATCTTGGTTTTAACAAAATATCAGAGCAACTCTTACAAGTAATCCCAGCTAACTTGGCAGTAGCGTTGCTTGTGTAAATTTTTACAGTGTGACTAATTGAATTCCCTTATAATTTAATTTTTTTAAACAGTGGCCCATGCTTATGTCAAACTGTACTATTTATGCTATATTTGACAGTAAATTTAAGGTGGCACTTGGAGCAAGATTTTATTGTCATCAGCTAGTTTTATACTGGTTTTAAACCCTAAAAAATTATATATATAGCTACATTTATATAGCTTAAACAATACTGGGACTGTTAGACTTAAATGTGAGACTATGGTGAAATCTCATTTCTGCTGCTGCACACAAACGTCACCAATCCCAAATTTATTTTTATAACTCTAAATGACTATACATAATGTAAAGCATATACACTGTATGATGTAGCAATACTTTCATATTCATCCCAAAGGTGCCTTTTCTCCTCCTGAGTCTCTTGACAAATTTGACTCTCTGCTTTGAATATGGGTCACCAGTAACCGATCTCCATAGAGTGGCACTGTTGGTGAGTTGCTACAGGCTTCATGTATGTCACATTTGTTGTATGTTGCGGGGCTTTTCTTGGCCCAGAGTTAACCTCTGGAGAACTTACAGAAATCTTTTTTTCTTATTTCTGACAATATGATAACCAAAGAGGTCTGCTATGCTTGGATAAAAGAAATTTTTAGTTTTTAATCACAATTCTGTTGGATTTTTTTTTTTTAACAAAAACCTCTCTGATGGTCCCCATTTCCCCTATAGAAGCAGGATCTTCCCAGTGACTATTTGATTCCCATTAGTTATGTTCCCAACGAGGTGGTATGTATGAAATGAAGAAATATGAGCAAATTTATTTTACTATTTTTAATTTTATTTTTGTTTGACAAAGGTTGTTCATGGTTTTTGTACATGCCTCTCCAGGCTGGCACTTGTTGGGTGGTGCTAAATATCTATCCATTGGAGCAAAGTCTTGAGAGATTGACCAACAATTTTGGTGACAAATCCACCAACAGAGAAAGCCTACTTATTTTTATTGAAATTCTCCAAACTGTGTGGCTGAAGTTTGACCATATGAAAGTGGTGGGTAATCATCGACCTCATTCATTATATGCATTTCTGACAGCATATTTATTTTAAATAGCGTTTGGACTGTGACATGCATAGTTTTAAAATGAGATGTAGTTTAATTTGTAGAAGCACACTGGTTCACTGTGCAAGAGAACACTGAAACTCAGTTTTAGGCAGAAGTAATTTGTTTTTGTACACTTAATTGTGTAATTTAGTTATTTCAAATGAGCATGTTATCTGATTCCCACAGGAAATATTGATGCAGTACTTTGATTGCCACTATCAGGAACAGCACATACCATCTGGCCCTTACTTTGACTACATGGAAAACCTCTTACGTGGAGCTGATCGAGGACTATTTGATTTCTCATGTGAACCACCACTGTGCCCAAGTACTCGACAAACATTTACGACTCCTCAAGAAACATCCCAGTCACCACCTAACCTTAGAACTCAACAAACACCAGGTACAATGTTAATGCAGTTAATGCACCGGACTTGGGTGCTTTATGTAACGTAGAAAATAATGGGGGGAAGTGTACTCAGTTTTTTGTTTTGTTTTTTTTGCCATTTGCAGAGTTTCTGGAGGACGACAACTTGACGCCTTTGATTTTTGTCACCATCTCCATTGCAGTTTGTGTCATTGTTTGTGTGTTTTTGTGGCTGGTGAGTAAACCATCAAACCCCTAACCCAGTAAGTTTATCAACTTTCCTTGCCCTGAAATTCCCAAAAAATTAGTGAGTAAAATCTCTAACAGAATGCAACAGTTCAAATCGTTTTGTTTTGTTTTTTTTGGGGGGGGGTTTTCCCAGCAAGTACTGTTGAGTCAACAATTTCATTCATCCATGCTGGCTTATGGATAAATGCCAACAAAATGTTTGAGTTTAATACCGATAGAAAACACTTTATAGTGGTGTACTTTTATCAGTAAAATATGATCAATATGTTAAACAAACCTGCCAGACATTCCTATTTGGTATTAAAATTGTGTGCATGTTGGTGTAACACCTCCTTTAAGACATGCTATGTAGCTTCACAGGAAGCATTACTTCCACGAGTCTGGTTGGTTGGAAGTAGCGTTTGCAGTAATAAGAGGGCTAAGCATAAAAGCAAAGCGGTCTAAATTTACTGATCAATCTACACTTTTATTCTCATCTATTGTCATGAGCTTTTGGTAGTGACCACAAGTTTGAGTTCGTGGATACAAGCAGCAGAAAGGAGTTTCCTTCTAAGAATGGGCTCTCAGTCATTTGAGGAACTCTGAGTAGAGCTGCTACACATTGAAAGGGGTCAGTTGAGATTGTTCAAGCTACTGACTAGGCCTCCTAGGTATGTTGTTGTGGTCATGTCCCACCGGGAAGAGGCCGATGGACAGACCAAACACTCGCTGGAGAGACTACATCTCTCGGCTAGCTTGGGAATCTCTTGGTGTCACCCCCGGATGGACGAGCTGGTGTGGGGAGTCTGGTCTTCTCTGCTCAGACTGCTGCCCTTGCAACCCAAACCCAGATAAGCAGTGAAAGATGGATGGCTTGTTGCACAATGGCATAAGCATTAAGCTCAAAACTCTTTTTCCTGTGTACAACCTCTCCAGAAGTGCACTCTTGGCTTTCGGTTATTCAGGCAGATAACTGCATTAGTGCAGAAATGGTCCGTAATGCAAGCTGAGAAAGCACGGGACCACAGCTGTGCTGCTGCTTTTTAACAGTTCAAAGAGGACTGCACGGTCCTCTCTGGATAAAGAAACCCTAATTTGGGGTATCTATTTTGAACCTCTTCTAAAGAGAATCGCCCTTAGTGTTAAAACTTCAACTCAGCTGTACAGACTCTTGGCCTGTGTGGTCTAATAAAGCCTATTTCCTAATGAGTCTTCATTTTAGTTGGCACTTCCAGGAAGGCAATTCTTCTAAAGTTCAACAGCTCATCAAAAATTCAGCAGTACTTTGAGGCTGTTTTTGTATGATAAACATTATTTGGGTGCTCTTTTTTTTTTTTTCGTTTCTCCAGTCCAGGTCCCGAAGGCGTTTACATGTTTGCAGCACTGAAAATATTCAAATGCAACCTACTAAAATGACCCAAACTCCGACTGCCTCTCTGAAGCATGATTAATAAGAAGGAAGGGAAAAAAACTGGACGGCAGTAGAACGACTCTCTCTCCAGGTTGTTCTGTTGTTGGCACGAGTCTGCTGGATAAATGAGTGATCTGATGGCTTCAAGGCACAGACTAAAGCTGCTGTATGAGAGATTGCGGAATTCAACTGGTGCTATCTCGCAAACAACGCCACAAGACTCCGGTCTTATGTTTTTTGTTTTTTTTTTTATCTCTCAATTCTTTTCCTCCAACCTGATATCTGAGCAAGTGAAGCAAGAAGAGGGGAACCGTGGCAACAAAACGGGACATCTTTAGTTATGTGTTTGAACCAATGTGAATTAAATGAGATGATGCACAGCTGCATAATGTGTTTCTTTCTCTCCACTAGCTTACTGCTGCCACTTAATGGAGTTGATGAAAGTTCTTGCATTTTGTATGGCACAAGAAAACAGAATATGGATGTCATATTTATTTGTCATGAACAAACTGAGAATAGAGCTCTTTGAATGACAAATATTTTTAATACAAATTAACTTATTCGTATAGTCATAGCGTTGTTCGTCATGATTGTGCGCTGAGATGATTTCCGGGTCAGAGGCAGGACAAGGCACAAATGGAGAAATTAGTGGCTGGATAGCTGTCAAAAATTGCTTCTCATCCTGGCTGCTGTTTAAATCAGTTTGTCTGACGCTTCTGAAAAGACCAGGTTCTTTATCTGCTATTCTGAACTGGAGCCATTCAGGTGGTGATTCAGTTTGGGAGTCGCAGTTAAAAATATCATTGAAACCTCAAATCAAAATATCATTACACTGTCATCAACTGGCCGTTTCCCTGTGGTTAGAGATCGGCCTTTAACTGGAGTATATTTACGCAAGTCCACACATGGAATTCTTGCTTTCTAAAATGTAATGTATAAAAATGCACTTCACAAGTGGGTTATGCAACACCTATACGTGCAATAATGTGTATTTTTGAGCCCAAGTATGTCCAAAATAATCAAAAAATATGTAAACGGTAATAGGTTACAGCAAAAAGTACTGCATCAAAGAGCACGTCTGAACTACCTCATCTGATTTTCACTTTCCAAACAACAGCTTGAGGAATAACCTTGACATATTCTAAGCGAAATATTCTCTCAAGAGAACAAGCACCCACTTTATCCTGACGAACAAATTGATATGTGGGAGTTTATGGAAAAGTCTCAGACAGCGTCAGTGTGCGACATAATGACTCAGCCTGTAGGCGGCCACTCCAACACGTCAGAAGTCCGCCAGTTTGTCTGAAGTGAAAGCAGACTGCCGGCCCATCCTCAAGTTTCACTACACGCTTGGACATTACACCCACAGACACACAGAGATGAGCTCTGTCTTTGGACTGAAAAAACTGAATTTCATGCACTGCATTTGAGAAACTTGGGATTCTTTCTCCATATGAGGAAGAAAGTAAGTATGTCCTTTAATTTTTTAATGTTTTTAACATATGTAATATGTGTAACTGTATACGCTTCCATACTGGCATTGATTTTTCTTAACTTTGCTCATTAAATAACAGGAATATTATTTTATATTAATATTTCCTGCATTCTTTGTTTTTTGTCAGCTGCTTACTTGTTATGAAATGCCACTGTGTTTTTTATAAAGAAATGTAGCCTTGTGGTTTTCTTCAAGCTGACTGTTTTATTAGATAAGTGCTAAACTGATAAAGGGAATATTACAATCATATAACATTACAGGACTACATCAAAAAGTTCATGTTATGAAGCATGCTTTCTTTTTGAGCTGCATTTAAAAGCAGTTGAATGTTATTAAGAGATCTACAGTAAATGCTGCACGTACTGCTGCTGCAGCACTCTTCAAGAGGCAGTAACGTGACACGCTAAGAGGAGTAAAAAAAATTGATTTTTTTTTTAAAGGATAAAATGCATTTTGCATTAAATGTGACACTAACGAGTTTGCACATTCATTTATTAATTCATTGTTTATCGTTTTAAGCAGTGAGTTTTAAACTGGGAGTGTCACTTTACTTCACTGACAGTCTAAAATATATGTATCGTAAATTTACTGTAATATTGACAAAAATGAGAAAAAGGTTATACTAGGTAAAGTAGATCATTAAAACAGTTTCAAATTTAAATAATAATAATAATTGGATCCACAGGTTTAGCTCCATTTCTAGTCTTAAAATGTTGCCCAGCCTTTTATTTATTGGCTTTTATGCCTGGCAAAGATATTGGAATCCTCACCTTTAAGTAAGGGGGGGAAATTGATTATCCTGTAATACAACCACACTACCCTCAAACAAAACACTGAGGTTGAACTGGTCAACTTTCATTTCAGGGATGTGGTAAATCAATGCTCAGTAACAACACCGCAGCAGATGTCGATTGCTGTACCTTATGTAATGTAAGGTATACATTTCCCCCTCAGATCTTGAAAGCACCTTGTCTCCTCCTGAGTCTGGTAACAAGTTTGAATCTTTGCTCTGGAAAATTTGGGTCACCAATAACTGATGATGTGAACAAGCTGCCAGTATTGGTGAGTTACTACAAGACTGATACACATCATATTTATAGTGTGTTGACACATGAACTTCTGTTTTGTGCTTCATGTTAAATTATCTCTGTAAGAGCTTCCATTCCTGATCATTTGTAGTAAAAACAAAAATCCTTCCCTGTCATTAATTCCTCTGTAGAAGCAGAATATCCCCTATGATTATGAGATTCCTGTTAGTTACATTCCCAAAGAAGTGGTATGTATAATGCAACGTGAGAGAATCAAATATAAAATTGGTTTGAATTGAATCAAAGCTGCTCATAGTTCTGTTTCTCCGTCTTCAGGCTGGCACCTGCTGGGTGGTGTTGAATATCTATCCACTGGAGCAAAGTCTTCGGAAGCTGGCCAGCACGTTTGGCACTATCTCCACCAACAAAGACAACGTACTCCTCTTCATTGCAATGCTCAAGAGTTTACGCTTCACCTTAGACCACGAGAGGCTGGTGGGTAATCAGACACTGTGGTGTATGCTGCTCATCTTCTCTGCAAACAGTACTTGAATTTGTGCCTTTGTTGATTGTAAAATTTAAAGTATCAGTGATCAGGTCGAAAGCCCTTTTGGCAGTGTGTTGGTGTGCGTGTAGCACGACATGTTGTAAAATCAAAGTTACCTGTGATATTGTGCAGACCGTTGGGTGCCTGCACTCGTATGTATATCTCCATCAGGTAACGCTTAGAAATGTTCAGGCCTACAGGGCATGTGGAAACACACTAACACTATGCTAGTTTTGCAAATAAGCCCTGCAGCTTAATTTTATGCCAAATTAATGTAATAACCTAGACAGTGAGGGACTTGTTTTAAGGAACATTTAATTGAATAACTGAGGTATTTAAGGTTGGCTTGTTGTCTGATTTCCCACAGGAAATGGCGATGCAGAGCTTCCAGTGTCACTATCAGGAACATGGCTTACTGACTGGTCCTTACTTTGACTACATCAGAGACTTTTTACACACTGCTGCTCAAGGACCAACTGACTTCTCCTGTGAGCCACCACCATGCCTTAGTACTGAACAAACACCAGGTACAGTCCTCACTTGCATTTAAAGTTCAGATTTTTTTGTGAAAGCTTCCAAAATAAAGTAGATTATTGGAGGGGGAGGCATTCGTTTAGGATTAGGAATCCAGCTGTGTACAGTAATCAGATATGCAGCCTTAAGGCAGAAGCTTTTCTTTACAAAAAAAAAAGAAAAGTAATTTGATGACCTCTCAAAAACAAAAGGTATTGAAATGACCAGTCCCTAGCTGTAACTAAGATTGATTTCCATCAGAGTATTCTGTCACACATTCAATAAGGGGATTGGTCTGCCCTCTATCATATTTCTAAGGTGTAAGTGTGATTGGTTACATTGTCAATAACGTCCTCCTTGCAGGGGTTCATGAAGGGAATCGTGGGGATGCTTGGTCGAGAAGATCTCCCCTGCTTTTGGTTCTCATCCCCTTCATCACTTGTGTTGCTCTCATAGTGTGGTTGGTAAGTGAATTTAGACTTGAGGCTTCCGTCTGCTGGTCTTTGTGGGTTAGGCTAAAAAAGCCTGGCTGTTAATGTGCCCTCATTATATTGAGCACTTCCAGGAAGGAAGTTGTAAGGTTAACAGCTCATCAAAAATTCATTAGTAATCTGAGACTCTGTTAACGTAATAAAACCCACTTTTCAGATTTACTTTCTGTCATATGAAACTGTATGACCAACACAGGCTTGGTGCTTTTCTTGTTTTCCTTGTTTGTTTTTTTTTTTTAATTTTTAGGTCAAGTCTGGAAAGCGTTTACCAGTATGCAACACTGAAAATAGCCAAATGGAACCTTCTGACACGATCCCAACTGTGTCTATCTCCATCCCACTTCAAACACTCACCCACGCTGCTGACGCTCAGCCAGAGCGGGAAGCGATTGCTGAACATGAAAGTGGATGAAGGACGTTTAATAAAGAAGGAAAAACTCGGACAGCAGCATACCAACTCACTCTCCAGTCAGCTGGATAAATGAGTGGTCTCCTTTGCTTTCACTCATCTGAGCGCAGGGTCCACAGCTACTCTGCAAGAGCAAACCCAAGCTGTTGTGGAGGCAGGTGTACTACAAAATTCCCCATCGGCACTTCTTTGGTAGCTGATTATCTTTCAAAATGGCTGGCAAAGCACAGATTTTCCTGCCTTGGGTTCCGCTGGCCTATTTTGTGACAACCAGATTCAGTTTGTTTTTCCTCACACTCTGGACTAATATCTTTAAGGGGTTTGTGCTTCACTTTGAAGCTGCAATCAAAAAAAAGTATCGCTGGAGCTTAAAATCATGTAATCATCACACGTCATCCACTTGTTGACTCTGTCTGGGCGGTTGCCAAGACCGCCCTTTCACTGCTTCGCAACAACCTGATTTCTACAAACAGAAAAAGACGTACAGTCACATTAATGCTATCTTGAAAGGAAACAACTAAAATGCTGTTGCTGCGTTTTATCTCACGCAGCCTGTCCTGTACTTGTTGTTGACATTATTATGATCTGCGATCTGTCGCAAATTGCAAACCTGCTACTCACAAACAACACACTGAGCAGTTCAACAAGTGTCCCACTTTGTGTATCAAAGATCTGACCAGATGGCAGATAGCCATCGCCAGAGGCACTTTGAATCCAGTCATTGTATTTTCAAAGCCGTTGCCCAGTGATCTATAGCTGCTGCTCAGCCGCAGTGAGTGTGTTAGAGGTTTTAATGCCTTATTCACTGGGTCAATCATGTTCAGTCATGAGAACATGACTCCCCGAGTGTGAGCGCTCTTGTAGTGCATGTGTCACAGACGGAGCGAGAGACAGTGCAGACAGGACGAGGGAAAGTGAGGGAGATAGGGACTGATAGATAGATGGACGGATGAGCTCAGTGAGAAGCATAAGGAGGGCTTGTTCTCATCACAAAAGAACTGGCCGTAGGCTGGAGGAAATGCCAGTTACAAACACGACTGATGTGCACAGATCCCTATGAATCAACAGGCTAAGAATCCTTCTAGACCGCAGGCTAAGCACCCTACAGAGCCCGGTTAGTATTCAATAACAGTTGACTGTATTTGAATGATTAACTTCCAAAACACACCCATGAAATATGGATATATCTTTGGTAAAATGTCTTTCTGTCGTAGACTTTGTGTAAACAGTGTTGTCTTTATAGTGAACCGTTTGTAAAGGTTCATATTTGTATTTTGTGAAAACATGTTATTTGTGTGTGAAGTATTTAAGTTATTTGGTTACGTGTTTCACTTACAAAAATGTTTCCAGCTGTTTTAGTGATGCAAATGATGAACACGCCCAATTATATCGTGAATGTACAGGAGCTAGACAAAATACTGTGAACGCAGAAAGGAAAGCGCGTTGTAACTCTCACCAAATTCAGAAATCCATCATTTTGCACTGCAGGGGTCTGATCACATTTACAAATTACTATATTTAGATACTGTCCCCATATTTGAAAACTGTTTGTCTTGGATTTCCTCTGTTTTTCCTGAGGTTTTTCACCTATACAGTTCATCTGACTGACATGGCTGGAGTTTGGGAGGAGCATTTTAACTGTTTTTTTTTTTCCTCATATTGATAGTTCACATGCAACATTGTTGATTGTTCAGTATCTTTTATACCCAGACGAAAGCAAATTTTACAAGATGTCAGTCACCACATTGGACCTACTATAAATCTGTTACAGTGTAATTATTTGCAGAGAGCCTTTCCACTCTCCTCTGCTTGTAGTTTCTTATTTTCTCCACATTTTGCTGTGCTCAGGAGGTTTCTGGGCTTCAGCCCTCCAGCAGTGGGTGTTTAACTCCCAGCCAATAAAAGTTTTCTGGCTTTGAGGGTGGGGAAACGTGGTGACAACATTACACGCCTCCGTCTCACTCCTCTGCTCTCTGTCTGTGTTGTGAATGTCTGTACATCTGTTCCTCCAGAGGCACATAGTTAAAGCAGAGTGGCCAACTGGCAATGCTGCACCTTGCTGTAAAGGTGTGGCTGTGTTTGTTGTCTATAGGGTGACCGCAGTGAAATAATCAGAAAATGTTGTTTCATCTCCCTCGTGTCATTCACCCCTTTTTTTTTTTCTTTTTTTTTTTGGTTATTCTGTTGTTGAGGAGGCAAAAGTGGAGAAAAGCTGGATGTAACATCTGTAATTAGCATAAAGTGTATACGATACTGTCGCCTTTTACTGTAGTTTTCATTGCAATAGAATTTTTTTTTTTTTTTTTTTAAAGGAACTTTATTTTTGCTAATCCATTTAAATGGCTACTAAGCAGATGTTCTGCCGGTATTGTGCATATATTCTGATTTGTCATCAAAGTGAACCAAGTTTGTTGCCTTCCTGAAATCTTTGTAATTGAAATGGTAGACTTCATGTTCAGGCATGTGAAGTTTATTTAACACTGGGCTTGATAAAAGGCCTCCATTCTTTTCTTTTCTTTTTTCTTCTTCGGGGAATATTTCGACATGCATGACCTCTGAACAAAGTATTGTATTCAGAGAGAATGGTGTTATTCCAAAGGGACAGAGGTTTATTTGGAGAATTTTTCCACATTCTGTTTTTCTTCACAAACGACACTACCACCCATAAAATGTCTCTGTGACTGTTGCAATAAAACTAATTCATGAAGTTATGTTCAACAAAACAGTGCATTTGGGCTAAATGTTGTTAGACTATAAATGATTACATTTTTCGACAAAGCACCTAAGATCTTGTAAGATTTGGTGTACACAAGATGAATTACTTGACGTTTACATGTCTTTAAGACACACCTAATAATATAGAATAATTAACTTTTAATTGACCATTTAATTTTCTTACTTGCAGACCATGGCCAGCAGAAATCGGGTTATATTGAAAAGCTTTAGGTAAATATTCTATTCAGCCTTTTAATTTATAGGGCAAATAGTGTATATGCTAAATCACCACTTCCTTCGGTACACCTTGATAGTGTTGGATTCAACCCCCTTTTGCCTTCAGAACTGCTTTAATTCATCATGGCAATAATTCATCAGGTGCTGGACACATTCCTTTCAGATTTTGCTTCATATTAACATAACAGCATCACACAGTTACTGCAGATTTGTTGACTGCACTACACCGCCACCACCAGCCTGAACTGTTAATAAAAGGCTGGATGGATTTATGTTGTTTATGCCAAACTCTGACCCTATATCATCAGAGTACCAAAAATGGTCAACTTTATTATCCCCAAAGGGCATTTTCTGGTACACTAGCGGCAAACAAGCGTGCAATGAAAAATATCAGACACAAACAAGAAAAACAACAACAGGACTCCACAGTTTAGCTGACAGGATTGGTACCTGGTGTGGTCTGCTGCTGTTGCCCATCTGCTTCAAGGTTCAAATTGTGCAAAAGCAAAGATTGCTGCTGACTGGTTATTTTCTCTCATTTTCTGCACCATTTTCTATAAACCTTAGAGATGTTTGTGGGGAAATCCCAACAGATCAGCAGTTTCTGTACTCAGAACAACCTGTCTAGTAGCAAAAACCATGCAAAAGTTACTTATATTACGTTGCTTTGTTGACTCTCAATATAATGCTTGGTTTATATTGCCTGATTAGATATTTGGGTTAACAGGCAGTTGAACAGGTGCACCTACTAAAGGGGCAAGTGTGTGTATATGAGCAGCTAGTTGTTGTTGGTTTTTTTTTTTTTTTTTTTGGGGGGGGGTGTTTTGTTTCTCTTTTGTCCCAGTCAAAAACAAAAAGATTTCCAACTAAATATTTATACACAGCCTGTTCCTAATGCTGGTTTACACTGCACTGGATTCATTATATGAAGCTCGCCTCCTTGTCAATTGACTCACTAATGTAATAATTTAAAGAAACTTTTCATAGTTTTTCTTCCTCCTCCTGAACAATGAAGATTTTGGTGCTTTTATATTGTTTAGGAACATCCGCCGGATGTACCCGGACTTTTGTTTTGGAAAGCCGCTGCTAAGCGGTCGCCATTATTCTTCCTGGCTTGACGCTCAAGCTAAAGACGGTTTATTACTTTAAAAACGTTACATTTCGATTTAAACTGTTACAGTGTGTCTGGTGCTGTCGGTTGACCGTCTCTTGAAGTGGTGACGCATCCTGAGCACAGTATGGAAAAACGCTCTCATACTACAAGTAAGTTGCTAAGCTAACGCTTGTAAGCTATCTGTCGCTATCCGCCACCGAGACAGGCGGTGAGAAAAGAAGATGCAACGCCATCCATCTGTTGCAGTAAGCAGACACTTTCCTCTAAACCTATAGCCACCCTGAATGCAGTTACATCTCTCAGGATATTTTTGAGCGCTGTTTGACAAGTAGTTACATGGCTAACTAGCTCAGGAGGCTAAAGCTTTTAAATTAAAACATCCATCCTCCGGATGCACTCGTTTGTCTTTGTATATTATCGTTTACGCTAACTCCCACGAATAACGGTAAGATGAGCCCAACATCTACTTGAAGTTTGAATCCAGCTCTGCAGAAAATTGGCGCTCATTCTCTACACTATTGCACACGCACACGCAGGCGTGCACTTTTTCAGACCCTCTGCGGCTTCTCTGCAACCTTCAAAAGCCTCCCGTTTGCGCTACAGCGCCCCCTACAGGCAGCAATGGCACAACCCCACAAATGGCACAACGTCTGAAGTTTTTCTATGACCAAAACTCGCCAATTTGCTATCACTGACACAGGGCGGATTTGTGCTAAGTTTGTGGGTGTGGATGCCGGAGATTACATTTTTTTAATATTGGCCTCATAACAGCACAGTAAGAGCCACATTATGCAACGTAATGTTTTCAAACTCGTTTTCAGGTGCCCTTCCCTTGGCCTCCCTTCGCCTTATGGCATCTCCTCTGCAGCTGACATATTCGTACATCTGGCAGGTCGTACGGCAGAAAAACGTTAAGCAGTATGGGAAAGTGGAGGAGTTTGTGACCATGGTGGTACAGACTGTTCCTGACCTCATGAGTTTCAAACAGACTGCCCAGCTGATCTTGGGGCTGAGAGCAAGGGTGAGCTGTTTGTGTGTCTGCATCAAATGCTAGTTGATGATTATGAAGCTGAGAGTAATCCATAAATTGTATGAGTCTAGATCAGTGGTTTTTTATTTATTTATTTTTTACAAGCCTCCTTTACACTACAATTGGTGGCGGGGGGCAGTTAATACAATCTGTATGGTGACTAATGTGCTCTTGTGCTGCAGATCATTTTGGATTTGCTTCGTAAAGACGGTCCACCGGATTCTAAGGCGATACAGACTCTTATAAATAAATTAAAGGTCTCCACATTATCAGGGGTAGGTGTGGAAAAAAAACTATTCTGCTTGAAAGTTTCATTTGCAATTTTTTTTTAAATGCGTGGATTAAATCTGAGTTTAAATGTTTCCTCTGCTGCAGAAGGATGCAGAAGTGGAGAAATCGCAAACAAATTTCATGGTACTGGTCCAGAATCTGCTTAAAAACCCTACTGAGAGGAAGCGCTTCTTCAGGGTAAACATGCTAATGTGGTATTATACAGGCACTGGTTGTAACCCTTGTATTTCCTCTTTTGTTGTCAGTATAGTGTTTAGAGATATGCCATTTACTGTTTACAACATGGTTAAACATTTTTTTCCCTCAATAGGAAGTGTTCCCTGTTCAGTATGGCACAAAGTTTGACACAGCACTGCAGACTCTGATTGCAGGCTTAGTGTGCAAGCTGGAGCAACTTCTTCCTATGCCCAATTTGTCCCAGGTATGCCTTTGTGATACATTTATGACATTTATCCCAGGGCTCTCACAGCAGGGTGGGCTACTTTTTAGAGATCCGACATGTCTTTTCTCAGGATCTAAATTCAGTTGCAAAACATGCTGTTGCAGACTTTCAGAGTGTTTATCCGGTTCCGTAATTGGCCACAACTAAAGCAGAATATAATTCTTATTCATCTTAACACTGATTAAAGTGTCCAGACACGCTAGGGTGTCTGCTGTACGTCTCTATGCCATGGATAATGGAGCACCTAATTATTTTTTATCATAAATGTAGGTCAGAGTTAGAAAATTAATTGTCTGTCTGTTTGACACTGATAACAGAAATTTTAAAGTCTCTATTTAAAGGTTTTTATTTGTCTAATGTGAAAATGTAGACAAATGTAGACTCAAATCCCTGGAAGGGCTGTGTCAAAAAGGGCATCCGGTATAAAAATCTGTGCCAAATCAAATATATGCATTAGAGCAGGGCGATATGACCAAAAATATTTATCACGATATACATTTGAAAATTTGCGATAACGATATAACTGACGATATAATTGACACTAGACAAAATACTTTACAACTCCACAACTTTATTAGTGCAAAAAACCCCATCAATGTATTTTCACTTAAACAAGCAGCTGTTTTTTTTATGTGCATTAAAGTTATATAAAAATGTAACAGTGCAAATTCCTCGCTGACAGTTTAACCAAAAGGCATTTCCAGTGGAAATTGGCCGACATATCCTCAGCATAACCATGTATAACATCCACAAAACTTAAAAAGAGGTGATAAACACAAAATACGGTAATATTGTGTTGAAGCACAGTACGTATCACTCCGCGAGGCGTCTGCCTACGCTCCGACAATCCATCAAGCGGTGTGGGTTCGTAGCTTAGCAAAGTCGTACTAAAACATTTGACAGATTTTCGAGCGCTGTGTACCACATAAAATCGTTTCAAGGTCAGTAAACACAACCAGAATTCATACATAAGGCACACGGGATTATAAGGGGCACTGTCGATTTTCAGAAAAATCAAAGGATTGATTTTAAGTGTGCCGTATTTTCCAAAAAACACGGTAATAACGACGGCCCGCTAGCATGCTCTACCAAAAATAGTGCTTTGTTGTGTATCTGACGGACGAAAGTCAAACCAGTTCCACACCATTGAAGTTGCAGCATTTTTACAAACCAATTCTGGTTCATCCGTTTCATTTAACGATCCGCTTTCACTTTTCACATTCTACGTCGCCGCCATTTGCGTATGCAAACCTAGTGCGCATGCGTGTTTTACCCATATTCTATCTCGATATTTCATTTTCCTATCGTTGCCCAAAATTACACCGATATTATCGTGAACGGTATGATATAGCCCAGCCCTAATGTGCATCCATCCACTGTGCCGAGTCTTTTCTTATAAGGAAGCAACTGAAAGAAGCATTAATTAATTTCAATGCCTGAACTTCAGCTTGGTGCCATGATTTCAACGGAGCCCAGTGTTCTGGAGGCATGTGGAGGCTTTATCCCTGATCCAGTGGATCTGAAGACACTCCTTCTACACCAGCAGGCCAAAGGACTCCTTGGTGTTAAAGGTATACTTTAGGCTGTGTAAAGATTGAAAGTTTTTGTTTTTTTAATTTTTATTCCTTTTTTTATCAAAATATAACAACAGATATATGGGTGTCTAAGCTTGTTGGTATTATAACTCGTTCAGTTCAATTTAAAAAATGTGCACTTCTTTTTGTGCAGCCACTATCTCGTCTTCAGTGGGCGACTGTGTCCTCTCTTCACTTGCCTTCCGGCCCAAACCTGTTGATCCACCACCAGAATCTCCAAAAACAGTAGAGGTCACAGCTAAAGAAACAAACCAAACTTCCGTCAGTGACACCGAAGACGTGGCTGTAATTTCAGATGACCCTGACAGCCCAGCAGTCAACATTTACAGTCCTCCGCGCAGGGGGCGGTATGATTTTAAAACACTTTATAGCTCTGCATCAAAGGAAAGGAGTGTCACAACAGCAACTCAAAAGGAGAATTTGGTGCAGAAAGAGAGTTCTGCACAAGAACAGCCTGCTCCAACTCCGCAGAGCAAAGAGAATAATGCACCCCAACCGCCACCATCAGAAGCAGAGAAACCAGCACCACAGCCACTGCCTTTGAAATCAATCCCTTTCAGGGTAGTTACGGTGCCGTGCAAAACTGCTCCCACTTTACCAAATGCAGATGGTGCGGGAACAAAAGATGGCCAGAAGCCCCAGACTCAGCGTGTCACTTTGCATCAGTGGGTGTCACAGATAGCCTCCAACTCTCTGTCACTCCCTGCCCTGCCACCTCTTCCTCCACCCAGGCTGAGTGCTGGAGATGATGCAAGGCCAAGCATAAGAAGAAAAAAGCAATTTAGGCCTCTGGGCGACAGGTTTACTTGCAGTGTGTGTGATAAGAGCTTCCCCTATCAGTCCAAGCTGATGGACCACGAACGAATTCATACAGGAGAGAAGCCTTTCCACTGCTCAGCATGCAACAAAAGTTTCCGAACACAGGCTTTCCTCAACAACCACCTCAAGACCCACAACGCATCTCGTCCTTACGCTTGTGGGCAGTGCGGGAAGTGTTTCACAAAACTCCAGAGCCTGACGAAGCACATTCTCGCCCACAGTGGGCAAAAGCCATTTTTTTGTAACATCTGCAACAAGGGTTTCACGCAGTCCACCTACTTCAAAAGACACATGGAGTGCCACACAAGCCAGATGACGTTTCCTTGCAAGCACTGCAATAAAGTTTTTCCTACGGCTTTCAAGCTGTCGAACCACGAGCGCTGGCACACCAGAGATCGCCCTCACATGTGTGAGCGCTGCGGGAAGAGATTCCTCGTCCCCAGCCTGCTGAAGAGACACATGGGCTACCACATTGGCGACCGCCAGTATCTCTGTTCCCAGTGTGGAAAGACCTTTGTCTATTTGTCTGACCTGAAGAGACACCAGCAGGACCATGTCCCCAAAGCAAAGATCCCATGTCCTGTCTGCCAAAAGAAATTCTCCAGCAAGTACTGCCTGAGGGTTCACCTGAGGATCCACACCAGAGAAAGACCCTACCGGTGCACTATATGTGAAAAGACCTTCACTCAGGTTGGCAATCTAAAGGTCCACATCAGGCTGCACACCAATGAGCGGCCCTTCAGCTGCGATGTGTGCGGGAAGACTTACAAGCTGGCATCCCACCTGAACGTCCACAAAAGGACACATACGTGCAAGAAGCCCTGGACGTGCGACACATGCGGGAAGGGATTCTCTGTCCCCGGACTTCTGAAGAAACACGAACAGCTGCACACGAGAGAAGCCAACCCTGATTTCTCCGGTAAGCGGAGGCACAGGGGTAAGCAAAAGAAGCTCTCCCTCAAGAGGAAGTTTGATGAGGAAGAGGAGGTCAGCGATGATTATTAACTGAAGAAACGCTGACATTTCAATAAAAGTGTTTTAATGTTGAGGCACTGAGTCATTAAAGTGATGTTAGGAATCATTGACTCTACAGACCAGAGTTATAGCGTGCTATAATCAGTGCCTGACTAGCTGGAGCATCTTAATGAAGAATCCACTGTTTATGTTCTTAAAATAAGGCAATGTGACAAATTAACTTTAGGTGATGAAGTTAGCCAAAATGTCACATTATCTGGAAATTAAGGTAGCCAAGAGCATTTCTGATTGTGAATTAAAATGTTGTTAATCATTTTATGTAGAAACAAAAGTCATGTTCATTGATAAAAATGTTTTCCCAGCATCATGCTATTGAAGAGGCTATCTAAATATAGCAAACACTTAAGAGATGAGTATCATATAAACAAAAGTATTTCAGCGCATGTGACTGTAGATAAACTGCTGTGTAATAAAATGCTGTAGTGTTGCCACGAAACATTTTAACTTGTCCTATTCTTGTGGAAATTTTAGTAATTAAAACTACTTCCACCACATGCTTTTTTTTAAAAAAAAATGAAACATGAACTGTAAGCCTTTCAAATAGTTTTAGTGATATAATTCATGTATTTGTGATTTAAAACTGATAGTTGTTTTGTGTGTGTGTGTTAACGTAATATCAAGAAACAGACAACCTTTATTTCATCTGTGCACAACCATTTAACCTTATGCAAATATGTGATGAGGTTGTTCTGTGAATTCCATTTTTGTTTATGTAACCCCCAAAGAAATATACTTACTCTCAGTATTTTTGTGATGTTTTTCAGTAAAATAAATATTTGTGGCAAACATCTCTCACTGGTGTATTTTGTTAAATTTTAATTCACGACAACAATATGCCCACCGTACTGTCTTCTGAATGTCCTGAATTTAGATAGCTTTAGTATGTAAACAACATGCTTTAAAAAAAAACAAAATAACTATAATAAAGAAAAATGCCTCTATTAGTGTATCTGAATATACAGGCAGAAGGTTTATTGTAGTTCTTACTAGTAGTGTTGAACTACTATACTAAGTGTATATTTTTTTATTAGTTTCAGTATTGTTTTATATTCTTAGTGTAATATACTATATATAGTTCAGACTGTGTCTGAAGTCTTTTTTTGCTTTTTTTTTATTATATTACCAAGTATGTTTTCATATGTTTCAATAAATTGCTGCAACCGTTTCCCATTCATGTTAAAAATGTTTTATGGTAAATGGTCTGTATTTATATAGCGCTTTTCTAGTCCCAAAGCGCTTTACACAACCTGTCATCCACCCATTCACACACTGGTGATGGCAAGCTACAATGTAGCCACAGCCACCCTGGGGCGCACTGACAGAGGCGAGGCTGCCGGACACTGGCGCCACCGGGCCCTCTGACCACCACCAGTAGGCAACGGGTGAAGTGTCTTGCCCAAGGACACAACGACCGAGACTGTCCAAGCCGGGGCTCGAACCGGCAACCTTCCGATTACAAGGCGAACTCCCAACTCTTGAGCCACGATCGTTTTAAACCTAGTTTTATGTGACTGTATAGTAAGCCTCCTATTAAAGACAGTGGTCCAGGAACAGCTAGCTCGCTTTCTTGTAACCATTTGTACGACAGCACGGTAAAACCGCTTACAGGTCCTCCTATTTTATTTATTTATATATATCGCCGGAACCATAACTAAAGAAACCGTCGGATTTTAAGTGTGCCACTTCCAACCGAAAAATGATGCCGCTTGCTCTTTTTTAACTTCATGGAAACGCCCTGTCGCGGTGCCGTCCAGTGTTGCCAATTCCTCAGTAAGGGAAATCACTATTGGCTGTCCTAAAAGTCGCTAGAAGTCGCTAAATGACGTCATCGTCATCTAATTAGCATAATTGGTCATGCTAATATAATTGGTCATGCTAATGTATTGTAACCTACCCTGTTGGAGAGAGAAATAATATCGTGGAAGAGACATAAAGTCAGTAAAAAAACGTCTTAAATGCATTTATAATTTATTTAGAACTACAAATTAAATTTATTTTAGCAATTATTGTTTTTTTTTAATGTAACAATTCCAACCCTGCTCCTTTTCCGGGCTTGGACCGGCAAAAGTGACCCGAAATAGGCACTCTGGTGGCGTTACCTTGTGTGTGTGTGTTTATAAGTAGATATAAACCTTGTGCTCCACAAAACAACATAACAGTAAAAGAAGAACTGACTGCATTACAGTCAGTGCGGGAGCAGCGGCTTCGCTCATGCGCGATTCATTTGCAGTTTGGACGCATAGGTGTGAACATCTCCTGCCCTGATAGCCGCTGGGGGAGGACTATCCTTGGCCTGTGAGCTTTGGCACGGGCGAGGTGCCCACCGCAGCAGCACCCGCTGCTTATTGAGAGTAAGAGCGATATGCGCTTTCACGCCAAAAAGTCGTCATAAAGTCTCCAATAACACCAGAAAAAGTCGCCAGATTTGTCGCTAGTCGCTTTTTAGAAAAAAGGTCGCTAAATATAGCGACAAAGTCGCTAAGTTGGCAACACTGGTCTCAGTTCAGTCCATAACTACGGGGCGGTTTCCGTCACCAATGTGGCACCTAACCGCGCATTTCCACTGGCCCAGGATGGCACGCCTCTGGTCCGCTATACGAGCCAAACCGTAATCAACCACTATCTCCGCCCTCAGCCGAGCCGTATCTAGGCAACGCTCCACTTCACTGGCTCCAATGAGGTGACGTCATTTAGGCGACAGGAGGAAGGAGCGCCATGTTGAAAAAAAAAGTGAAAACATTCCAGCTTCTCTTAGTTGCTCTGGATTTCTGAACTGCAAGGAAGGAGAGATCATGGAGCCGCTGGTGCACTGGTCTCATGAAGAGACCCGAGCGCTTATCGGTGTGTGGTCAGAGGAGAAAATCCAGCGTGACCTGGAGGAATCCTTCAGAAACGAGACCGTTTACAGGGAGATGTCAGGCAGGTTGGCTGCTCTGGGAATAAGCCGCTCTGCTAAACAGTGCAGAGCCAAGATAAAGAAACTTAAACAGGAATACAGAAACACGAGGAGACACGGTGAAAGGAGTGAGGCAGCCACAAAGACCTTCAGGTGGTATGATGCTATGGACACTATCATGGGTGACAAGAGTGCCCGGACACAGAGCAGAGAGCAGCCGTCTTCTGTGGTACTGGAAGTCATGGTTCCTGATGTGGAAGCAAGTAAGTTGGAGAGAAATAAATTAAATACAGATGCAAAGTACAGCAAATACTAACAGCAGTTAGATTTTATATGGATTCTTGCTTCTCTTCTCTATTTTACTGTCTGTTTAGTTTGTTTTTGTATGTTATATTGTATTTTAGTATACTGAGCTGTTGAACTTGATGCAAGCTGTTTTGTTATAGTTTCTGTTTAATGTTTTTGCTGCTCATTACTGTGCAAAAGGCTTGAGTCACTCCTCACCTCTTAATTTTTTTTAAAAAGTGGTCTTTAGCAACAGTTTTCCAGGTTTTCTGAACTTTTTCTCTGGGCACTGGCTGCTTTTTCACTTATTTTGAATCCAGACCTGACCATATTCAGAGAAAAAGTTTTTTTCTTCATTTAATTTCCAAAAGAAGGCTTGCATAAGAGAGTAAAAGGTGTGTTGAGGAATAAAGATGGTCATATCAAATATTGACTTTCAAGCACCTTAGAACTGCACAAACTCTGTTATGCCTTATATGGGGTGCCTGTAGCTCATGAGGTAGAGCTACTACTCTTTCTAATGATCAATCCTCAGTCTGCATGCCAAATGTCTTTGGAGTAACCCCAAGTTGCTCTCCGATGCATCCATCGGACTATGAATGTGCGTGAATTTGAGAGAGAAGGCACTTACATAGAAAAACAAAGAAACTGAGGGTGGCTCAAGACTTTTGGACAGTACTGAATAACACATTAACTTCCCAGCTTTGCCAATTTTAATTAGTCATTTGTCTCTTTAAGGTCCACCCGCTGTAACAGACACTCCAGAAAGCTGTACGACATCCACCCATTCACTGCAACTCACTCTGCCCAGACCAAAAGCTTGTCCTGCAGGGATTCCACAAGTATCTTCTTTCTATTCTGTTCAGCTTCATGAATTTGATGGTCCTTCTACAAGCAATCCAGTCACCTCCACTGCTGTACAAACATCAATCAAAGGCAAGTAGTTATCAAGCCAAACGTATTTACAAGTAAGGCTGCTTTACGGCTTGAATAAATAATTTTCTGTTACTTTCACAGACACCCCCTTGTGTTGTTGGTCGAGTAAAGAGGTCCAAGCATTGCTGACGCTTTGGGCAAACCCCGAGGTTCAACGGGAGCTTCTCCTCAACGTGAGAAATAATAAAGTTTACACTTGTCTCAGTTCCAAACTGGCCTTGCTCGGTTTTAACAAAGCACCAAAGAAATGCAGGGAGAAGATCAAAAAGCTAAAGCAGGAGTACAAGAGGATCAAGAACGGCCAATACAGGGGTGGAAGCAGCAGTGTGTGGTTTGCCATTATGGATGAAGTCCTCAGTTCCCAGGCTCTCACAGCCAAGCGTTCACAGACAGTGCAGAATTCCTCTACAGTGCACTCCCTAGCTGTACAGGCCGTTGTCCTGGATGTGGATACAGATGGTAAGTTGGAAATAAACTACTATGACTATACTCCTACCATTAAGAGTAGTTATTGACCTAACTGTGTCCTCATAACTGTGGTTTTGACAAGTTATCTCTCAAATTGATTACTTTTAATTCTATAATAAATAATATTTTTGTGTTTCTTAGGTAAACATAAGTCATAATTCATGCACTTTTTTTAATTCTTAAATTTCTGTGCATTTTCAGATGAAACGCCGTGGTTGCCTGATGAAGTCCAAGTGCTGGTGACACTTTGGGCACAACCAAACATTCAGAAACAGCTTCTCACCGCAGCGAGCGATCAGGTTTTCACGTACCTCAGCAGTGAGCTATCACTGGTGGGGTTTAACAAGACACCACGTCAGTGCAGCGTCAAAGTGAATGAGCTTAAAGAGGAGTACAAAAAAATTAAGCACATGGAGCCATATGGAGTTGTTAAAGGCGACTGGTTTGCTATTTTGGATAGTGTTTTTGACGCTGATGGAGCAACTTTGAAAGAGGTGAATTCATGCGTTGTGCAGAAAAAGCCTAAATCACCAGAACATGAGCACGTGGATGGTAAGTTGTTTAAAACTTAATAATAAATAGTTTTGTGCAGAAAAAAATTTGCTGATCTGTTGCTATATTCTTTTTTTGATTCCAGCAGATAAATTGCGGGCTGTTTGGACACCAGACGAAGTCAGAGTTCTGCTCAGTCGATGGGCAGAGGAAAGCGTCCAGGAGCAGCTTCGATCAAATCCGAGAAACGAGAGAGCCTTTGCTCAGCTGAGCTCCGAGCTCGCCACTCAGGGTTTTGATAAGACCACGAGTCAATGCAGGTCGAAAATAGCACTCCTGACACAAAAGTACAGAAGGATCAAGGCACAGGAAGACCCGGAAAAGCAAAAAAGCAGATGGTTTGCCATCATGGATAAAGTCCTCAGTCGCAGCAAGACAGAGACTGAAACTAAACCAGTCAGAGATTCACAGCGTGCATCTCTGCAGACATCACATCAGAGCCTACCTGACACAGCGGAGGGTAAAATGAGCTCCTGTTTATTCACTTTACAGTGGCAGCTGCAGTAAACATGATGGGATGTGGGTCTCTGTGTGGAAGGGATTATCGCAGCCAAGATGACTAAATTTGCTGTAGCTTTCAGTAAAGTGAGTTACAGTACGATCAAATATTTGTGTTATTTTTACAATTAATTGTTTACGGATTAAATGACCTTCCACAACTGAAGACACCTCTTAAGCAAGATCAGCTCCACCTAAACTATGCAGGATCCATGAATAGAAACTCAACGCTGCATTCCTGCAAAGCATTCACCCTGTGAATTCCAAACAACCTTGTTGTAACACGGTAATAATTAAAAACAAGCCAGGGAGCAAATCTCAAAGCCTCCCCCTGCTTTCATACACATCAACTAACCTTTTCTCAATCCACTAACTCTGCTTTCACTTCCTGCAATTTAAAACATGCTCTTTTTAGACTTTACAGACACAAAATAATAGCTTGATAATTAAATATGCCAATTTCGTTTGTTTGTTAATTTAGATTTTTCAGTCTTTCTTATTCTCTCTGCAGGTTGCCGTTTGTCCGTCTCCTCGTTGTGCCTCCTCGTTCCAACTCTGCGACTGATGTGCGCCTTTGCCTGGCAGGTGGTTCAGTGTTGTAATGTGGCGCAGTACAGAAAGGTGGAGGAGCTGGTGAAGTTAGTGACGGAGGTGGCTCCAGAGCTGCTGACAACCAGAGAGAGAGTGCAACTCCTACTCAGACTGAGAGCCAGGGTGAGAGGCCCACATTAGAGTATATTTTATGAATATTCAACAACAAACTAAGGGGGAAAATACTTAATTAGTGTAGATCATTAATTAGCATTTGAAAATGTCTCTTTCAGCTTGTGCTGGAGTTGTGTCTCAGCGAGAACACGACTGACCTGCTGAATATCCAGCCCCACCTGAATGTCATCCGAGACCTCACCTTAAGCTGTGAACAGGAGGTAGGTTTCTCGGGTACAGTTTCACTCTGTATACATTTTATGTTCTTTCAGACTTTTAAAAATGTCTTTACCAGAGAATTTAGCACAAATGATGAAATTAGGTTGGCTTCCAGCTCTTTTCTGAAATCAAAAACAATCGTGTTTCTCAACTGACCTTAGTGAAATATGAAAATAAGCAAACAACAAAGAAGTAGTCGCATCAGTTATTTCGATTTCCCATTTTGCAAGCACAGTGGTCATTAAATGGATGCCCCGTTGTTATCAAATGGTAAATTAACATGTGTATAACATGCATTCATTCAGTCTTTGCACCCCTATTTTGCACCTTTGCTCTTTGCCTGCGCAAATTAAGTAACATTCCTTCCTTAACCCCCTTGAACATTTAAAAAGTAGGGCTAGTCTATACTTCGCCTGAGACACTGAACACGCCTTTCCCATTTAAGCTCAGCGTTGGTCCCATGTTTGTTCAGTTATGCTGAGCTTCTTTGATTTTTTTTTCCCTGCTTTTTTCATAGCATATTTATTACTGATGTTTCACTGAGCTTTTGAGCTTTGAATAAACTCTTTTGATGTTTGTTTGTTTTTTAAAATCCTAGTTTACTTTCACATATTCAAATTGAAAACTCTGTTTATTTAATATTTCTGTACAAATTAAAAGTAGCCTCCAAATGTTTAATCCTGAGACTGTGGGCTGTGTCCTTCAGCTATAATACACATTGACCAGATCTCAGCACATTTCTCACACTCCATTATCAATTATCAAATGATTACAATTTTTTATGTTTAAAGAACCCAGCATATACATGTTAAACATGTTTGTCTTTGACACCATTTGACAGGATGCCACCGAGCTGGAAAATTCAAAGTCCAACTTTGTGGAGGTTGTTCATGCCATACTGGAGGACCCAGAGGAGAGACAGAGGTTTTATAAGGTGAGATGCACAGTAACACAGTTATCATAATTGAAAAATATGTAATGAGTGAACTTTATTTGAGAAGAAAGAGCTCAACTATTTTTTCCATTTCAGTTTTTGCAACAAGTTCATGTTTCAGTTTGTTAGTTCAGTTCTTTCCACTTTACCATCTCAGACTTTCATGAAAAACATCCAGGACAAAGATACACGTCTTAATAGGAATTACACAAAGATTTCCAGTCCTTGCTATCATTATGGAAGAATGATGTTGTTTAACTAGAAAACTAGATTATCTTGATTAACTGGATTATCCAGACATTTTGCAAAATTCCTGTGAAGAAGGGTTTATCCACTGGACAAATCTGAGTTGGAGAGTTGTTTCAAATTTGGTAAAGTGAGATGAAATGACCTTTTTCCCATTTGTTCTAGGAGGTCTTCTCCATATACTATGGCAAACAGTATGATGTCACATTGCAAACTTTGGTGTGGAAATTCATCTCCAGGCTGGATAATCTCTTACCAATCCCTGATATTAGACAGGTAAGGTTTAAATGTGTGGTCTTTCATATCAATACACACACACTGTAGTGCTCCATGACCTTAAGCAAACTACTGAATGCAAATTGATCCGTAATGTGTCAGCATGCTTTATTCTGTTGATTGTGCACCGCATTCTCATGAAGTGTTTTGCAAACCTTTCACAGACTGCACAGTGGCTCAGCTCCGCTCCCTCTCTCACAGAAGAATGTGCACGGCTTATTCTGGAACCTGATCAGCTGAAGGCGCTACTGAACTTCCATCAGCAACAGTCAGGAAACGCAAGCAAATGTGAATAGGTTACTACCCTGGTTAAAATATGATCAGCTGACTGGGCTTGCTAAACTGTTAATAAGTAAATAAGCTTCAAAATTAACTCAAGTTTAAAATTTTCAGCCTGGAAATAAAACTATTCAGAAGTTAAATATATTGGAATACAACAAAACTTGTATTAGGAAGGCTGCACATCAGTATTTAATGTGAGTTTTTCTGTCTCTCATAGGCTGTTCTCAGGCTGACGAGAATATGTTTTTGCCAAAGCTGTTGTTTAATCCCAAAGGAAACTTCCAGCATGTTTCAGCACAACTGGATGAGCTTTCAAGCAGCAAAGATGAAAGACAGTTTGATTACAGCGAGGCCGAAGAGCCAGCTGACTGCAAAGCACCTGTGAAGGACTGTGGGAAAGAAATTAAAGGCCTAAAGTTAAAACATGAACAAAGCGATGGCATGGCATCTTCATACTGCTCGGGTATGCAAGCACTGACGCCTTTGAGAATAACTGTTTTCCATTGAATTTCCACATTCTTATGAGTCCTCATTATCTTCCCATTTTCAGATTTAAATTGTGCACCTATGCAGCTGCAGACCTGCTCTCTGTGTCCCTACTCTGACAGCCATGTGTCAGGACTTCTCAGGCACATCAGAGAAGAGCATCTGATCCAGGAATCTAATCCCATCACAGATCCTGGGAAAGACTGCGTCTTTCAGAGAGTCAAAGATCAAACGTTCACTCCTAAGATGAGGAGGATAACGGACACTTGTGAGTATTGCGGGAAGGTCTTTAAGGATGTATCAGCCCTAACCAGCCACATTAAAACACACACTCTTCCATTCCACTGTGACAAGTGTGACAAGAAGTACTCCTCCAAGTGGTCGCTGACTGTGCACCGTCGGATTCACACAGGCGAGACTCCATATCTGTGTTCGTACTGCGGTCAAGGCTTTAGGTCTTCAAATATCCTTGCTCTGCACGTCCGTATACACACAGGAGACCGCCGATACAAATGTCCCATATGCGGAAAAACATCAATCCAGCATCTGTCGAGACACATGCGCATGCACCGAGGGGAAAAGAACTATCTGTGTACCGAGTGCGGGAAGGCTTTTCTGTCCTCTGGGGAGCTGAGGCTTCACATGAGGTTTCACACAGGCGAGCGGCCATACACGTGCAAACACTGCAGGAAAGGCTTCATCGCAAAGTGCCTGCTGACCGTTCACACCCGCCAGCACACGGGGGAGAGTCCATATAGGTGCTCGCTGTGTCCGAAGTCCTTCCGCACTTTGAGAGCGCAGAAAAGACACCTGGTGATACACTCGAGCAAAAAGTCTTTCCAGTGTTTGAAGTGTGGTAAAATATTCCGGCAAGAGGAAACTTTCAAAACACATGCTGAGACTCACAAATGATTTAAAGGGGACCTATTATGCTACCACTTATTTTCTGTCCAAATTTTCAAGTTGTGAGGTCAGCGTTCAAACAGACAAAGAAGCCAAAACCTCAGGCTTTAGACTGCTATAAATGCTTGGCTTGCACCAATGGGGTTTTTTTCCTCTCTTGGATCTTTATGATGTCATTTAGAGCAAACCCACAAGGGGCAAACAGTCAGAGGAGCCAACAGAGAGCTAACAGTGACTAAACTAAGAGGCTGCACAGAGATATATAACGTATATTTTCAACTACAAGTCATTCAAAGCTGCTCTAACAGTATCTGTGATAAAAAAAAAATATGGAGCTTAAAATGAGCATAATAGGTCTCCTTTAAAAGAATGGCAGTGTAAAATATTTTAGTTTCAGCAGTTGAGTTTAAAAGTTCTCATTCACTTATTGTAACTCCACTATTGCTTAAAGAACCAGCTTAATTGCTGGAAACGATGTAACTCTGTGTTTCTTTTGGCTACTTCTGTAATACCGAGGGCACATTTTGTGTCTCCTCCTGGTCTCAAACTGGGGAGCTGTTGGGTTTTAGGCAAATGTTTTTGAAAACTATGTAAAGCTAATATTCCATAAACAGTCCAGTTAGCACACAGGTAACTTTAAAAGTTTGTGTGAGCTACAAACTGAAGTTATTTGTTAATGAATAAAAGCTGTTGCTACTTTGAGTAAAAATCAAATAACAAAAGTTTAAATGTCAATTTTATTTGGGTTCATAAGTGTATAGTTATCAGAAGGTAAGTTCAGCCAAATTATAAGAACAAAATCTCTAAATAGTCAACTATCTAAATATCTAATATCTAAATCAAGATTCTCCACAGATGTTCTTGATCTCTGGTTCAACGTCTGATCCGCTGCTTCTCTTTGTCTCATCAACACAATGTTTTCAAAGGAAAACAAGACACAAAGAAATTCACAATGCACAACCAAATGTCATTCTGAAACATTAATCTGTATAATAAAAACATTAATAAATTTTAGCAGTTTGAAAAATGTGAAACATATGTGACTCTTAGGTCTCCAAATGATTTATTTCAGAGGCCTGTTTTCCACTTGTGCTTATTTCCTGCCATGAAAATTGCATCACAACAATTTTCCCTTTCTTTAGTGCTTTTAAGAGGATCAGTGAGACACTGAGACACCAGGACTGGTGCTGTGTAGTTTATGTTGTAGTCGGTATGAGGATTCGTTTTCAGAAAGCTCTTCTCATACAGCCACTCAGTGAGTTGTGATATTAGTAAAATAGTTCCAGTGTTGATGAGCATAATGGCAGTGCGAAAAGAAAACAGGTGATATTGGTGGCCGTCCTCCTGGATGTTGTCCCATGGCAGAGGCAGGACGTAAGGTAGGCCTATCAGAGGTTCCCCACCCAGAGTTCTTAGCAATACACCCAACACAAAGCCACAACAGGCCCAGTACCGGGTCACCCAGCAGGGTAAGAAGAATATACATATCACCTGGGGGGGACTCATTGAATACAAAACATCTGCATTGACGATCCAGAACAGATGAACGGAACTTGTCATAGCATGGCCTGCTCCCATCAGTCCACACAGGATGACTGAAACCTTAACCACCACAACAATCCAGTTTTTTGATGCCTAAAATTTAGATTTATGGATGTTTATGGGTGACATTGGGAATAGATATAGAAGCTGTAGCAGCAATGCATATGAAGACTCTTGATTTGACACAACAGAGCTGCAACATTTTTCAATTTGCCCATTATGAAAAATTACCAAACCCCCAAACCATACCACAAATACTGGTCATGTTAAAAACTGATACCCACCTGTTTGTAAATCACATTCTTGAAGATATTACAGCCTCAAATGTGGTGAAGCATCCACACAAGACAGATTCGTCTCATCTTTAGCCAGTGGAATATACAGTCGCAGCCATGAACTCCAAAAAGGATTTTATCAGGAGTTGAAATAAATGATGTTTTCATGAAAAATATTGGAAGGAACTGTTTTGCTTACAGATTTATAAGACTGTTTATTTTTATTTACCTGTGTGGTCTTTAGAAAATGTTGAGCAGGGTGTGAAATTTGGTGTGAAATTGACACCTGACAGCACCTGGCACCTCCTACGCATTCTGCTTATTTCCAGAAACTGGGCTACACGACCATTACATAAAGACAGACACACAAATACATGTCATACTTAACATAACCATGGTAAGTGTAGTTGGTATGATCAATGTTGTTTATGCAAGAACTCAAACCAAAAAGCAACCATATATTTAATATTTCTTGATATAATTTCAAGTAGATGGGCGTTAAATGCAGTATAAATAATTAATAGGTACACCTTTACTGCTTCCACAGGAATTAAGAGGGTAAGTAGCAGCCAGGTGCTGTTAATTGATTAACTGATCACCAGGAGGTTTGAAACCAGAAGTGTTGGTCTCCCAGACTGCTAAACATCAAGTTTACCTTTGACCTCCAGCTATCACTGGCTGATGGAAATAACACTTTGACCCACTGGATGATATTCAGTCAATAAACCAACAGCCTATCTGCGCTGCCTTTGATAAAGGATTGCAGGATACCACATGAAAGTGTCTTGCAATGGAGAGAAGTGCACTGCCCACTTTTATCAGCTAATGCTGAACAAAAGAGTGACTGAGAAGAGCTCAGCATGGTAAGAGGGTGGGAAATTTGAAAATCCTTTTTAGTAGCATCACTTTATCTTTGGAATATTGCCAGAGATATTTAAAGTCAATAAAAATAAGTTTGTTTTGCCTCCGTCTCTAATAGAGACATTTTGTCCTGCTTTGAGAGGGAGAGGATCGTCTGGGCCGACATTCTGCGACTCTTGAATTATGCCTGCATTTGCTCCTCAGTTTTGTCCCCCTGTTTTCACTTACTAAAACAAGAGAAACCCCGAGTTTATAGGCAAGGTGAGCTTGCTGAGAAGCAAGATGCCATGGGAGATTGGGTTGCTCAGCTTCTGGGGCCTTCTCATTGCTAAGATGAGGAATGACTGTCTGATTTAGCTAAGCCAACATACACTGTCCACGCAAATATAAGAACTCTTAATCAGCCAGCTTATTGCACAGAAGAAATTGCAGTCACACTATAGACCCAAGATATTTGCTTCTTTTTTTTGTACCTAAATGTACCCCAAAAGGCAGGAATTCAAGTTTCCAATTTCAAAGTCCAAGACTCATATAATGACTGGGAAAGTTGCAATACCAAAGCTCTCTCAACACTGTTTCCATCCTGTAGACCACACAGTATTCACCCCTCACTGCGGCTGACCTCAACCTCTTACTTCCAAGCTGCCACAGAGGGCGATCAGCGGAGAACCGCTCACCACTTGTCTGACCCCGAGACCTCATAAGATGGAAACCCCCCTCTAGACAGAATCTTACAGAACAAACCACACTGACTCAGAGAGCCAATCACGTGGTAAGTGTGCTGCTGTTGACTTCTATATGACTATGTAGGATTGTTCCAGGTTCTTAGTCATTCAGATCATATGTTGTAATGACTTGACCTTGTTTGAAAGAGAGCCCACAGCTGAATGGAGTTCAGTGGATGAATGAATGGAGGGACATATGTGGCCTAATGTAGTCAGAAAAATACGACAAGCATAGGACACGTGGAAAACAGATCACTGTGTTACCTTTTTATTGAGAATCACATAAAGATTGATTACAACACCACACTAACACAGTCACTTTTTAAGCTATGATTGCACCTCTGAGTTGTTATTCTAGTAATTATAATGGCAGCATGAGAGTTAGGGAATTTTGATGGATGGATGGGTGGATGACCACCTTGAACCGACATTGTGGTAATGTCAGCAGACCAACAGCCTACAGTTATTCAACATTGAAATGTTTGCCAGGGGGAAGGAAAAACAAAGGAGTGACAAAATATCTTCCAACACTTCCCAGCAAACATTTTGTTGGTGAATAACAGATGGCAGTCTTTCTCAATGTTGATTTATAATAAAATAAATAGTTATAAAATGATAGTTAACCTATGCTGTGAAACCTGTAATAGTGAATGAACAGTGCAATCATGTTGGAATAAGTTGAGCTAATTTTTTTTCCTTTTTTTCCAAAGAAAAATGAGAGCAGTTGATGAAATAGCAAACAGCTGGAACGCTCCAAAAATCACTCAAGGTGTACGAGTTGAATTAAAAGCAATTTCTCTGTGTTAATTTATGTAAAAACATTGAATCTATAAAGTCTAAATTCCAGGGTTAAATATAATATTACACTCTTTCTGTTTGTAGCGGGCTGAGCTGAAGTGTTGCATTTTCTCTCCAAAGACTAAAACACTGCCAAATCCACCCTTCACAGACCCTGTCTGCTTCTCATCTACTTTCAAAAGAGGATGACAGGCACTGTCATCATCAAACAATGTACCACCTACTCGGCTGTTTCCAGATGAGCACTCTGATACAATTCATAATGTATCCTCAGTTTCATCTGGGACAAATCAGGATTTGATGTTCGGGATGCGTCGTTGCCCACATTATTAGATCAGCTGAACGTGTCTAGACAAACTGAGCTGGAGCCTTTAATCTCAAAATCAGCCATGTACAGAGTGGAAGGCCTGATAGAGGACAATTAAACCAACTTACCCCCAGAGCCTGGCGTTTTCAGTGAACAGCCTGAGACATCTGCTGTTCCAAATGTGGTATTAACTGTAGCCCCTCTCAAATACTATCATCTCTGTTGTTGCACACAGACGTTAAATTCAGGGCTTCAGGTCACTATTACTGTAATATATGTCTTGCCAATTGGCATTTCTTCATCAAACCTTTAAATGGCTTGAGTCTCAGAGGAGAGACGTCAAACTCGTGCAGCCTCTTTGGTCTTCAACCGGCTGGTCCGGTGAAACTCTTTTTTCCGTCAGTGTAAAGAAGTTTAACTATCCAATCATGCCTGAGATGTCTCAGTTTTCCGACATGAAGAACAAATGCTGCTGTAGTAAATATAAGACATGTGTCAGCGCAACTGTTGAGGCTTAAAATGACAGATTTTTTTCCCCCCTCGATAGTTTTAGTCCAACAGCAGTCCAAAACCCAAATATGCCCACTTTCTCATGCCTTTTAAAACGGCCATTAAATATTCATGTTCTCCACAGACATTTTCATATTCACATAAATATTATTTTCTGTGTTTAATGAAACCTAGAACATAATCTCGTACGCTCCCACTGACAGCATTGCAGTCAGTTCCACCACTTTTTCCCCTTTCACTTCACAATCCCCCCGAAACCTTTTTGGATCCAAAAGTAGATAAGGTGGATGCTCTGTGGCTGCCTGGCTAGTTTTACATGGTGATACATGGTGCTTCTCTAAAAGTGGACCTCCAAGTTGCACCTCAGGATCTCCTCCTTGTGGCCCAAGACAGACATGGCCTGAGCAACTTGCCACCTCTGATCTTGGATCTGCACCACATTACTGCTGCATAAATAACCTAGATTCTTTAACAATTCATTTCTATGATATTACAGCCTGTGAGAAATGGGCCAAATCAGACTAACCACACTAATCAAATAAAAAGACTGTGTGGTTTGCAATGAGTTCCACAAATAAATCCATGAATTCAGAGAATGAATGCTCCCCATCACAAAAGATCAGTGATTCATGAATCAACACTTAAATAACCTCTTTAAACCGATAATGTCACCATATCTGTGACACCATCCCTCTGTGTGAATCCTCTATGTGGTCTTCCACTTTTTCCTAATGCCTCGCAGTCTTTATGTGCAGGTTGTTTCGAATGAATGGGTTTGTTTTTTTTAGCACAAATCCAACAGCTAAAACACTCCCAGGACCCATTCTTCTTTCAGGACTTTTCTCATTGTGACTTTCCTGCTCTTCCTCTGGTTTAAATTCAAGTCGCCGGTTCGGTATTCTGGCAAAGTGTAAGTGGTCAGAGCCTGATTTCCAGAGAGAAATCTAAAATTATTTTCCAGAGCTTTTTGAAGGAGATGACCTAGAAAGGAGATGGCCAAATTCTATTCTGATTTTGGCTTTTACAGACGGTTACACACATTTATGAATTCCTACTTAGATTCTTACACTGAACACTGCAGACATCTTTCCTCAATGAAAAACAAAATACTCTATAGACAAATGAAGTAATGACAAGATAAAACTGAGCATGATTTGTGCAAAAGCCAACAGCAACATTCTCTACTGGCAGTTTTTATTGTGTTACGCAACATGTGAACAGCATAACTACAAAATTGGGAGTAAAAAAATTAGAAATTCCTTGTTAAGAGTTCACCATCTCTTTTAATTTGATGTCCTTTTTTGGGCAGTCTTAAAATCACTGTGGTCCAAAATCTCATCTGCAGAACGGCTGACGCACTGGAGCTGTGGAAACATCATCTGGTGGCCTTCCCATTTTCATGAACATCCATCCTGTAAGCAAGGACAATGTCAAGTTTTTTTACATCCTGAGCATGAACACAAACCGCACTAACAAGAATGGTATTCATTCAGCATAATGACACTTTCACAGATGACTGAACACACCCGTTCTCATCTTTGAGGTGCTGGTACAACTCGAACTTGCTGTTCACAGAACTGGCTCTTCCAAAAAACTCTTGATGCTTCCTGGAATTGACTGCAGTGATTCGGTTGCTCCACATAGTGAGGAGTGAGACAGGACCTGCAAAGACAGCGAATCAAAAACATACAAATAGTTTGTGTGGTGTTATTTTCTTTTAAAAATGTGCCTTATACTGAGATAAAATGTCAATAAATTAGTGAAAATGTATCCGCGCTTCTGTATGGTATTATGAAAGGAGGTCAGGTGTCAACTGTTGGTACCTTTCGATCTTTCTGGAGGCTGAATCTCCTCTGAGGTTAAGCGAGGCTTTTTGTTGAGCGGCTCTGGGGAATCTGGGGAATCCTTGATGACCTCCGACTCCTGCTCATCTTTATCCATCAATCCCTTTAGTCTTTGAGACAGAGGAGCATACATCACAAAGTTAGGTTCTTTTATCTCTTTCTTCTCTGTTGTATCCAATAAGCTCAATAAAAATAAGCTGTGAATCCACATGGAAAAATGATAGACGAAATTATTTTTCCTAAAACAAACTGAAGGTTCTCGGGCACTACTGACCTCTCCGAGTCCTGCCAGCTTTTGTCGTCTGTCTCCTTGCTGCCATTTTTCTCTGTCCTGTCCTCCCTCTCCTCTCTCTTCCTCCCTCTCTTCTTCCGGTCCTCCTCCTCTGGAGGTTTGCTGCGGCAGGCGATGATGCAATCCAGAACTCGCTGGTGCCTGTCAGTCGCCCCGGCGTGAGTCTTCACTAATGTTTCCAGCTCATTCCACATTATGCGGTACTGCTCATCCCTGGAGATAATAATTATGTGGAAATATTAATGCTGATTTCCGCTGGTAAGCCAGGACTGGGGAGTGTAAAATGATCAAAACTGAGGTAATACCTCTTGGGGCCTTTGCCTCTAGATCCTACAGTGGAAATGGGGAGTGGGTCGTTCTTTCTCTCCATATCTACCAGGTTGTAAACGGTCTTCTGGCAGGTGAGAACATCCTCATCTGTCAAAGTCTCTTTTACTATCAGGTTAGCCAGAGGAACCACCTAATAGAGCAAAAACAACACAGATGTGTGCTAAAGGGGGATGTGGGCCAACTGGAAAAAGACAAATCTTTGGTAGAAATAAGAAAGAACACTGATAATCAGGAAGACTAGTATTCCTGGATGGTGCCTCACTGCCTGCATGTTGAAGATGGTCGTCTGGGAGATGATCATTGGCCAGTATCGAGTGTGGCGCTCCAGCTGAGCTTTGGCCCTCTCAGCTGGCAGCTTCCCTGAGGGATCGTGGGAAGATTCTGACACAGGAGTGAGCC